GTTAAAGTGGTGAGCAACCGCGTACGCTGGGTGTACCAAGGGGTACGCTGCGCATACGTGGTCAGCTCCCCGACTTTGGTCAATCGCATAGTATGCCCCACGTACGTAAGGAGTACGCCCCGTGTACTCACTAAGTCAACTCGGTTGACTCAGTTGACTTTGCCCTGGATTTTTACTAGGGTTTGACCTAAGGGTATTTTAGGTATTTTGACCTATATACTCAGATTGTGTCATTAAATTTATTAAGGTGACTGGTAGAGTTGATCTCGGAGCGGCGTGTTATTCAGTTTGATTATCTGTCTGTGAGGTGAGTTTTCTTACTATATCCATGGGTCAAAGGCACCAATGCCGACCCATTACTTGTTATGTGGAATGCTAGTTGTCTCTGTGATACTTGCATGAAAGACCAGGATCTGGCCCCTGACAATTGTATGAAAGACCATGATCTGGCCCCTAACACTTGTATGTAAGACCGCAATTTGGCCCTCAAATTTGCAAGGAAAGACCATGGGGGTAGCCCATGACACCGTATGTAAGACCGAGATTTGGCCCTCGACATTGCAAGGAAAGACCATGGGGGTAGCCCATGACACTTGTATGTTTTGGTATGTGGTATTTTGAGGAATTTCACTAAGTTTTATGCTTACAGTTTATGTTTATGATTTTAGGTACTTCTGGTTCAAAAGGGAAGGACCCGACATGTAGGCACGATATCCTCCCCTCATGATTTCTGCATTTGAAATAGTTGTACTCTGATGTTTTGAATATTATGACTTGGTTTTGATTTTAAACAATTAATGAATGATTTGGTAGAATTTTCAATGAAAAATTTTGTTACCATTTTCTGGCCGTTACAAAAAGAGAAAGTAAATAATCTCCTACTTATCTTTCTACCCATATGGAATGATGACAACCGTTTTAAAATATTATTAATTTTATCAAAATATGACATTTGTCATCATTGCACATGGTAGAAATATAAGTAGGAAGAAAATGTACTAAAACTATAAATGATGTTTTATATAATAAAAATATATATCCGAGAAAATTTAAAAAATAACCGCTAATTTTGTAAAATTGATTTTATTAATGTTTTTATTCCAAATGAATATGTGGTAAAAGAGCTATTTTTTTAAAGGGATAATGACTTAAAAGGGTAATATACTTTTCGTCCATATTTATCCCTTCAATTTTTTTAACTGTACGCATTTAGTCTTTATGACCGGTTACTTTAGGTAAACCAGAAAAAATGACTTAAAAGGATTATATATTTCTCATTTTGTACACATTTAGTCCTTAATAGTTTTTTGCACATCTAGTCCTAAATATTTTTTTGTTGCAAAATAAGTCCTTGTTATTTTTGTACACATTCAATACTTATGACAGATTTTTTTTAGGTTTTTCTCACGATATATTATGCGGGACAACCATTAATAAGGTGTTCGGGGTTGTTCACGCTTATGGTCACTGCGACATCTGCTGTTTGGTTGCTTAGTTCTTTTGGTTTAGCTTAGGTCTTGTGTTCTGAACGTCGTAACTTATTCATACGATCATGGATTTTAACGATCTTTATATCCACACATTCGTATTTGAGTCTACAACAATTTTCGTTTAGATTATTCCTGTTTAAAAACAATATATTTTTAACAGGAGTAATCTAAATGAAAGTTGTAGTGGACTCAAACACGAACGCGTAGATATAAATATCGTTAAAATCTGTGATCGTTTGAAGAAATATCGACGTTCAGAATACCAGACCTAAGCCTAACCACAAGAACTAAGCAACCAACCAGCTAAGGCAGTGTTGGCCATAAGCATAAACATCCCCGAACACCTTGTTAATGATTGTCTCGCGTAGGATGTTGTGAGAAAAACCTAAAAAAGGCGGTCATAAGTATTGAATGTGTACAAAAACAACAATGACTTATTTTGCAACAAAAAATTTATTAAGAACTAAATGTGCAAAAAAAATATTAAGGACTAAATATGTACAAAATGACAAATATATTACCCTTTTAAAACATTTTTTTCGGCTTACCTGAAGTAGCCGGTCATAAGGACTAAATGTGTACAAATCGAAAAGTATATTACGCTTTTAAGTCATTATCCATTTTTTAAAATACTCCAAAATAACATCTTCATTCCGTAATATATATATATATATATATATATATATATATATATATATATATATATATATATATATATATATAGGACTAGGTTATTTTGTTTCTTACATTTATTGTGTGCTAGAATGCACCAATAGGAATTTAGTAAATTAAATAATTATTTAATTAAATAAATATAGATATTAAATTATTTCCATAATTATATGTATATTAAATGATATCCATAATTATAATTCTCTTTTTATGGAAACTAATTAAATCCGTCATTAATGTCAGCAATAACATTCTTTCAGAATGGATTCGCATCTACGTTTTTATATATAAGTTCGTATTTTGTTTCAGGACTCACTCACTTAAAATACAATAAAGTTGCATGGAATATGAAGAACGAGAGTGTATTCTACTAGAATACACTCTCATTCTGCTGGAATACACTTTCATTTTTCTAGATATGAATTCATTCTGAAAGAATATTATTGTTGATATTAATGACGAATTTAATTAGTTTCCATAAAAATGAGTTATAAGTATGGATAGCATTTAATATACATATAATTAATACTAAATTTCTATTGGTGCATTCTAGCACACAATAGATCTGAGAAACATTTGAACCTATATATATATATATATATATATATATATATATATATATATATATATATATATTAAAACTTTTACAAAAAGTATGATTTTACAATATTTATTTAACAAATTCGGTTCTAACACTGGTTCAGTTCTAAAAAACCCGGTTAAAAAACCGAAACCACCCTGGAATTGGTCCTGCTTTTTAAATTGCACATAACTAACGTATATGGAGTAAGAATTACTTAATTTTTTTCCCAACATATAATTTGGTGTTTGTATTTTATTTTAGACTATACAAACGCATATTTTGGTTAGATATTGAATCAGATACATGCCCCGAAAACATAATATCAAGGCCGCATATTTTCTATTTAAACACTTTTTTATTTTTTTGAATCTTTCCCACTTTTTTAAATGTGCATAAATCACTCATATGAAGTTGAAATTACTTATTTTTTTTTCCAACATGTAATTTTTGTTTTTGTACTTCATTTTAAACTGTATAAACATATACTTTGGTTAGATATTGAGTTAGCTATAGATCCTGGAAGAAAGCATATCAAGGCTGTGTATTTTCTGTTTCAACATTTATTTATTTATTATTTTTTTTTTTGGAATATGTCCGATTTTAGAATGATGTACAAACACTAGTTTGCATGCTGTAAAAAATATCTCGAAAACCGAGATTGGAACCGAAACCGACATCAGCACCAACGATCTAGTTCCCGGTTCATATAATATAGCAAATTCGGTTTTAGCTCTGAACCAGTCCGGTTCTAAGGCTGTGTTTGGCGCGCCACAGCTAGCTAAAACGCTAGTTTATTTTTCGAGCTTTTTTAAGTTGTCATGTTTAGCAAGCCAAAATGTAGTTTATAAGCTAGTTTTTTAAAAAGCTACTTACACTAGCTTTTTAGGAGCTTTTTAAAAAAAATTCAAATATATCCCTTAATTAATTATAAAAACACATTCTTTTAAATGTCCTTTTATGTCATTTCATATTTTTTAATTACTTTTACCAAACGTCATTTTTTATCAGCTAGCTTTTCAGCTATCAGTTAGTTTTTTTAACAGCTAGCTTTTCAGCTATCAACTAGTTTTTCAGAGAGTACGCCAAAAATAGCCTAAAAGCTGCTACAACATTAAGGTGGTGTTTGTTTTTTGTCTGTAGATCTGCGTGGCCTCTTCTGTCTGCGCCGCGCAGACCACGCGCAGACATTAGCCTTCGCAGACTGTTTGTTTTTTTGAAGACTGCAGACCTAAAAATGTCTGCGCGCCCTCTTCTTGGCGCAGATATGGACCAGAGTCTTCTAACATATTCAGATATCTTCTAGCCTAAAAAAACACATATATCTATATTTTTTTTAAGTTTTTTTTAATTTATATTTTTTCCAACTTTATTAATGATAAACAATTTGAAAAAAAATTACAAAACTTAAAAAAAAAACGTTCGACGATACAAACATGATATTTTTGACAAATTTATAAATAAAGATTTATTACAATAATAATCGTTGAAGTTGTTTATATAAATACGAAAAAAATCATAATATATTCTTATATTTTTTTGCTAAATTTTGTAAAACATTATTTAATACACTATCATCAATTTCTCGAGAAAATATTTATGCTATGTCTTTAATGGATTTAATTGAAAAAATTGAAGTTTATTTCCATCCATTTATGTATCAAATTCTTTGATCCTTAATTATAATGTTTAGTTATAACTTTGCAACCAAAGTTGTTGGTTTTTATCAAATATATACGTTAATTCATATCATTTTTATTTTTATTTTTTATACAATAATACATAAAAGTTGCTATAGATTTGTTAATTATTTATAACAAAGTCATAAAAATATTAAAAAAAACACTTTCAAATTTAAAAAATCAGTTTATTTAGATTTCAGTTTATTTTAATAGCCCGCAGATGTTAAAAAAACAAGCAGTCTTTTTTTTTCAGACTACAGACGTTTGGTCTACATCTTCTCTGCAAAGTCATAATGGACGGAAAAAAGCATACCGTAACTTTAATTTTGATATTGTGTAATTAAAATTTTCTGGACTTATAATTGTTAACCAGATATTTTATTAATTTACACAAGAGATCAAATATTTTTCATTCAAAATGAGCTATAGTTGGGATTTATGGGTTCATGATAAAGACAAGAACACTAAACTCCTCCAACTACACAACTGGAAAGCCAGAAAATATCCCACCCAAACCCAACACCCTCACTCTCTGGTCTCTACCTTTCCCTCTTCACCCCTTTTCTCTCCTAAAACATGGATGACTCTGCAACTTCCCTACCGTCATCAATCTGGGCTTCGCTCAACAGCTGGTTCACTTCCACTGTCTTCTTCGTCCTCCTAAACGTCATGATTGCCACCATTGTCTTCACCTCTAACTTACCCAACAACCATCAACAAAACCGTCATCAACAAGACCCAGAACAAGAACAAAAACACAATTCTCAGAACCATCCAAATGACCGGAATCAACCACAAATCGTCAGATCTTCCTCCATCCTCTACCGTCTCAAGTCCTTCAACTTCCTACCCCACAGATCCCAACAAGATTTTTCGCCGGAGGACGACCACCACCAAGAACCTTTACAAGTAGCAGCTACACAGTATGTATTCAATCAACCTATCGACTATCAACATTTCGATTACGATTTCGATTCAACCAGATCCGATCATACTCCGACAGGCAACGCCAACGCCGCCGCTCAGTTTTCTGCTTTCAATCAAACCCATGAAGCACCAATCCCTTATTCGGAGACCCATGTCGTATGGGAACATCAACAAACCGTAGAAACAAGGATGAGTCATTTCGATTTCGACCCGACCCATGAAGAGATCCGGAGCGATACGGGCTTTGAAGATGCTCATGAAGATGAACACGCTGATGAGTTACAGAGTTTGGATGAGGTGTACAGTAAACTGAAAGGTGGGCATGACAGAACCAAGTCCGAAAGTGACCTCACATCGAAGCCACCGGCGAAAATGAAGAAATCAGCAAGTCTGAAAGTGGGTTTCGCGCATCTCGAGGAGGAAGAGATCGTGGAGTCTCGCCGGCCGGTAACCGTGAGAGAGAGAAAGTCTGCGGCTAGGGTGATGGAAGAGGATGACGTCGAAGTCGATACAAAGGCCGATAACTTCATCAACAAGTTCAAGAACGATCTGAAGTTGCAGAGGATCGAGTCGATTATCCGGACAAAGGGCGCGACAGGTAGAGGGACTGCCAAGTAAATTACTTAAATTGCTTGGTGTTTTCTGTAAGAATATCAGAACCCCAAGTATCATTTTGAAAATTACACGTGGTGATGTTGATTTTATAAAGCTGCACATAGGGATGTTAAAGCCATTTTATAGGTCAAAAGGGCATTTTGGTTATTTTCGAATGTGGAGATGGTTTATTGGATTTGGGTAATCGAAAACTATTTACTATAAAGCCCTTGGTTGGTGTAACTTGCATTTATACATAAAGGGTTGGAAACTTGGAATAGGTGTTGTTTGGGTTCATATGAGTGTCTTGGCACTACACGTGGTGATGCCGATTCTAATCCTCAATACTCGCCACTAGTACACTTTTTGTACTTTAAAGGGTAAAATAGTATAATTTCACCGACATTTCGTGGGGAATAATGGAAAAACTGGTTAAAAAATGATCAAGTGAATTACACCTTGTTTAAGCAAACATTATTTTGATATAACTTGAATCAAACTAAAAGAGTTACAAATGATCAAGTGAATTTTATATATTTTGAAAACTCCCAGTTTAAGCTAAACATTATTTCGATATAACTTGATTCAAATTAATGGTTAATGTTATAAAATAGCAATCGATATTATTTAATTTGTGTTTAGATCACTTATATTTTAATGAAAAAGTTACAAATGTAATTATTTTACATAATGACCTTTCAAGTTTTAGCCGTTAATTAACCTAATATAAAAAATAGCCATCATCAAAATCACATATGATTAAAGCCATTTGCCATTTTACCGTTTCCACCTAGGCATGAACAAAAAGAATGCTCACACCGGTCTCGGAAAAAGACCGAGACCGAACTAAAACGAGACCATACCTAAAAAAGACTTGTCATGTCATGTCTGATATAGGTCCGTAAAAAGAAAGGATCGTTTGAGACCAGTCGGAAAAAAGACTGGACCGTTTCAAGACCGACTTTGACCGGTCTCAAAAAATGTGTTACTTAAATATTTTAAGTAAACCTTATTGTATTATTTTGTGTCACAACTAGGAATTCTAATGCTTTTGTAAACATTAACAATGATAACATTTGTGACTAAAACTTGAAAGTATGCATGATGTTTATTCAATAACACCGAAGTTCCATCAATCACTCTATGCAAACACTTTAAATAGTCAACAAAAGATTGGAAACCCTAAAAATCCCGGTTTAAGTCCAATATGGACTAGGATTTTCTTATTGGGTCTAATGGCCCAATAAGTCTCCAATTTGACTAGTTTGGGCTTAGAACTCTTAATTGGGCTCTAATTCAACCCACCTTCATAAGAATGGACATTTTGGGCCATATTGGGCCTAAAATGGAATAAACTTCTCCAATAAGCCTTATTGGGCCATAACTAGCCTAATTAACCTTATTGGGCCATAACTAGCCTAATTAACCTTGTTGGGCCATAACTAATCTAATTAGCCCTAATGGGCCGCAAACCTAATCTTTTATGCTAATTGGGTCGTGAACCCCCCCTAAGGGCCCAATGGGCCGAAAACTCCTTTATGGACCTCATGATTTCAAGTAAGGATCAAGAATTGGGCCAAAATGAATCCTCTTCCCTTCTTAATGCAATTCTCGACCCATTTAAAAAGAAAGAAAGAAGAAGTAAATGGGGAGGGTTGACTTTGGGAGGTGTCACCTCCATATTACACACCATGTATCCATGCATGGACCAACATGCATCCATAATAGTCACTTCACTTCTCTCTCTCCCCTCTCTTCTTCCTCTCGGCCGAGAACCACCAAACACACACACACACCACACAAATTCTCTCCATTTCTCTCAAAGATCATCCTCTTCCTTCCTTCAAAGAAATCTCGAAAATTAGTTTGGATTTAAGGATCTTCTTCAAGTGTTGTCAATCTTTGGTAAGTGCTAGCATACACAAACATCTTCTTTCATTTCAACATCGAGAACTCTTTCTTACAAATCTTTACTCCATAAACACCTTAGAAGCTTCATAAATTCGAAATCAACTCAAGGAGGCTTGCTAGGACCAAAAATATTCTTCATTTCTTCTCCAAAACCGAAACCACAAACCAAGGTGAGTTCATACCCCCTTGTTTTCGGTTTTTACTTGTTTTTGGGGGAGAACATAAGTACCATGTGTTGATCTATGTGTATATGTTGTTATATGTGATTTCTTTGGTTTATGTTGTGAAAATATGATGTTATTTGCTAAATATTGAAATCTATGGCTAAAGTGTGAAGAATACATAAACAAAGTACATAATAAACAATTTACTTCAAAGATCTAAGGATCTTTAGGCTTAAGAAGTGAAAACAAAGTCAAAGTCCTTTTAAGTGTCATTTTTGCAAAAATAATCAAAGTTCGGGTAAAATATGTAATTTTCGGTTTTATAAAGACAAAATGGTATTATTTACATATAAATCTAACTTTTATGAAAATAACACTTTTCTAGGGGTCAAAAAAATAAATTTTAGCTTATTGGGCTTTAATTTGGGCCTCACGAATTTTTGGGCCCAAAGTTGCGAAAAAAATGAAATGTTGAGGGGCTGAATTGGAAAACTTATCAAACTATGAGTCTAAAACATGAATAAACTATTTTTAGGGGCTGAAAATGACTTTGATGCAAAAATTGGACTAAAAATGCAAAGTTTTTGATTTTGGGGTCAAAATTGTAAAACTTACGGAATTTGAGCCAAAAAATGTAAACTTTTTACAATAAAGGGCTGGAAATGACAAATACAATATTGTTGGGCTGAAATTATTATTTAAATAAAATTTGGGTCTAAAATGTCAAGAAAAACAGTTTAAGGACCAAAAATGTCAATTTTCATAAAAGGGGACTAAAAGTGCCATTTTTATAGATTAAGGGGCTGAATTGATCAAACTAAATGTTTTTGTGCCAAGTAGATAAATATTAAATGATTGGGCTAAAAATATTAAGTTTATAACGCATGGTTATATATATATATATATATATATATATATATATATATATATATATATATATATATATATATATATATATATATATATATATAAAACCAAGCTTCGTTATAAATCAAACGTCAAAACATTTTAACACTTCGAATGAACATCTCACTTACAACAAACAGCTACATTACGAACTTAAGATCAATAAATTATAAATGATTCAATGGTTGGGCTCAAATATCTTCTATTCGTGCTATTGGGCCTTCATGGCCCAATGTCCTGATTATTGGGCCCAATATAATCACACATGTTTATTGGGCTTCCGGTGACCCAATTACATACCCAGTGGGCCTTTATTAGCTTTAACATACTATTGGACCTTAATGGTCCACTTGTATTGCTAATAAGACCTTAAACCTTTATAATATGCTTAATGGGCTATAACGTGTCTGTAGCATACTCGACAGCGTGTAATAACATACAAAGTTAGTGGGCCTCCGCAGTCCTCTTCTTTTCGTCTGTTAGGCTTACCTTTATTCAAGTAAACATAAATCGGGTCGTGAAACAATGTTATACAATTTCTTTTGGATTAGTGAGAAATAACGGGCGACACCAATAAGTGTCGGTCGTAGTCTGTAGTTATAATCAAAGTCTCCTGGAGGGAGAGCGAGAGTTTGTGTATAGATCTATACGAGGGTGACTCCCCCACACCTAAGCTGTTCGCTACAGTTAGACTCGGCCAGTCTAGGGTGACAAAATCTTAATTCAATACCGGCATTCACTAGAATGCCAAGACAGGCGAATTAGTCATTATTATGCATGGTTATAACGACTCACATAGAGATCCATTACCATCTAAGTAATCATTGGGAAATCATGTTCATGTGCTATGACAATACAATAATACAAAACTATCATACTATTTATATCGGAAAACATCGGGTTTTCCGGGGGAACAACATTATTCACTTTTACTTACAACAACTATAATACAAGAAACTATTATGAAAAACATTTCACCTTTGCATGTTTTGAAATCAGTTACACGTATACTTATGGATCATCACACCTTTTTCGTAAACAATTTATGTTTCAGAAAATATCAGATTTTCTGGGTTTTACAAGCAATACAAAACATTTTCATATCAAACTTGCTTATGAACTCACCAACATTATATATGTTGACCGTTTCAAAATAACTTGTGTTCTCAGGTAATCGTTAGAATGAAGAATTATCAAGCATGTGTCTGAATGTCTTTGTTGTGATGTCATTTGATAAACAATTTATTTTTGGGATTATGTAATGTAAAAAATGTACTGGATGTGAACAATGACGGTTGTAATGTATTAATGCATGGTGATGTTTATGTTATATTTCATGTATATTCATTGTGATGATATTTCAATTTAAGTCACACGAGCCCTCGGACATTTCCGCCGTCTGGTTCGGGGGTGTAACATTTTGATGGTAGCCACACATTTGTTAACGGAAAAACTCAAAATAGAAACCAAAAAACAAACAAACCTCAAAATCGAATCGGAAAAATACGCACAAAGACCACAATACCGAAAAAGACCAAGATCGGTCCCAAAGGCACAAGACCAAAAAGACCAGTTCGAAAAAAGACCAGACAAAAAAAGACTAGTTCGAGACCTTTTTGAAAAAAAGACCGGACCCTTTCTAGACCAATCACACAAAGACCGAACCATTTTGAGATTGATAGGAGACCGGTCTCGGACCGCTAATGTGGATATCTATAGTCCCTTCTATGATTTTAGTACGCGGGTTGTAATTTCAGCCTATTTTCTAGCCGAATGTTCTATAGGTATAGAAAAGATGTTGAATTACCGAAATTGTAGATGGCATAGAGCCACCTACAATTTCCTCCTACTTAACTTGCGATTTCGTGTTTGTTTTTTCCACAATATAATTTGACTATAATTTTGTATAATATGACTATGATTTCGTACAGGTTAACTACAACTTACATAAAATGTAGAGCATGTGTTCTACCAACCATAATTTAGTGTTTTTCAAATAAATTTGAACTAAAAATAGGAGTTTTGGTGGACATTTTGTTTGTG